TGTCCGGTATTCAAAAAATTCATATCATAACAAAAATAAAAACCGGTATTCGGTACAAAACGGTATACCGCCCAGCACTAACTAAGCAAACAGGTACGAGCCTCCTACTGGATAATTACTGCATGGAGGATGATCTTTCAGCTGGCAACAAATTATTTAACTCCAACTGGTGCAATGAGTTGTTTCTCACTTCTTAAACTACCATGTTGAAAGACACATCCTGTGGTCGTGGAAAACATGTCAGTCTGTTTGAGAAGGGTCAAATCACTGGCAGCATCATGCAGATAAAACATCTAAGGAAATTGCAGAAACAACTAAAATTGGTTGGGAACTGTCCAATGCAATAATAAAAACTGGAAGGATGGTGGAGACACATTGTATTTGAGGAAGAAATGTGGCCAGAAAATAATCCTGAATGATCATGATYGGCGATCACTTAAACATTTGGTGAAATCAAATTGAAGAAAAATAACAGTAGAACTCTAGGCTACCCTTAATAGTGAAAGTAAAAGAAAAAAATAGTGAAMGTAAAAGTATTTCCACAYGCACGATGCGAAGGGAACTCAGGGGATTGGGAATGAACAGCTGTGTAGCCTTAAGAAAACCACTAATCAGTCAGACTAACYAGAAAAAARGTTTTAAAYTTGCTAGTGAGCATTAAGATTGGGCTCTGGAGCAATGGAAGGTCATGTAGTCGATGAGTCCAGATTTACCCTGTTCCAGAGTGATGGGTGCATCAGGGTAAGAAGAGAGGCAGGCGAAGTGATGTACTCATCATGCCTTGTGCCTGTGGGGGCAGTGTTGTGATGGAGAAGGGGATCTCTGCAGAACATGTTGTCCTGTGGGCGGAGACGGCCCAAGAGATGTGATTGGCAGAGGTCTTAATGTGGGCGGAGACGTCCCAAGAGACGTGATTGGTCGGATTGACGGTGGGGTTTGAAGAGGCTGGAGGCAGCGGGGAGTAGCTTGGTCGAGTCGGGCAGGAAGCAACGTTTTTTTAAGATTAATTTAGTCATAACCTGAGAAAGGAAAGTGCTAGCTTCACGAAATTTGAACGTCGTACATGTGAAAGGATGTGTAACAATATGACTTGTCAAAACATCCCTAAACAGCCTGTAAAAAAATATTGATTTTTAGCAAYCTTTTTAGCTGAGAGTCATTACCGACACACTSTGAGCAATAACAGATAATCTTTACGTATTCTTTCAAGAAGTGCTGCTTTAATTACCGTTAAATAAATTTATTTGTGCTTTAAATTTTTGGAGATGTATTACAAAGGTATTGTCAACCTAACCAGTTAAACTGGCAGAACTACTCTCTCTCTCTCCAGGTTTTGTTTTAGCGGATATTCTCCCTGAGATGTGGTTACTCATGCAGAACGTCAACAGTCAWCAGAGGACAYGCATGAACCCTCTTACTGCTTTCTRGTAGACGAAGGTAAAGCCTTGAACTTTGGTACGACTTTCACTTTTTAAAGCATTTTCAAGCTTAAGGTAAAGATGACAGTTAAAACTGCAAGTCAAAATAGAAATGTTCGCTGAGAACTAGAACCTGAGAGAACTTTAGGAATTTCTGATGCTGGTTGAATGAAAATTTTGCCTCTTTCTGTAATTAAAGTGATGTTTTGTTTTGCCTGGTTATGATTCTGTCTGCCCTATGTGCACCGGCAAGAATTATCTGTGGGGTTATAAGGATCAATAGTGCATTAGTCCCCATCACAAGCTGCTCTCCCAAGAGACAGGACCAGATGATAAAGCTTTCCTACATGCATGTCTCCCAACGCAGTAGGAAGGAAGCTGTCGGACAGGTGGGAAAAGAAAAAGTTAAAGATTTATTGACAAGGAAAGACAAAAACAAAAGAAACTGAGGCAAAGCGAAAAATCAAAGAYACTAATGAAAGGAGAAGCAATGAGAAAGTAATTATGCAATCAAGTATAGGACAGAACGGAGAGGAAATAAAAAATCAATAACAAAAGATGGAGAAGATAGAACTAGTGTTAGACGGGAGGTCTCTGAAGAATGAAATGAGACACTGAGAGACCTCTGAGATCTTAACTGAAGATATTTAATACAGGCAAGAAATGCTGCAGCCAAACAAGTGAGCAGACCTTTTCTTCAGTGTGAAGGTGCCCTTTAAACACACCCACCCCACCCAAAGGCTTCACATTAATAGATGCATGGATGTCACTCACATTGCTCCGTTCAAGACTTTCCAAAGCAGCAACAAGAAGCAAAATWAAGTCCTGCTTGTAGACCAGAGTCCATCTTCTTCATATCTGAATTTTACCTGACCTAAAGCATTACATTTCCATGGTTCAAGCATTTCCTACCAAATACAGTTAAGTGAAATTGTATAAACTATTTTAGAAAAAAGGCATTTTATGGTTGAGTATGACTGTAAAATTATTTCAGAAAATCCTAAATGTGTGCCAGAGCTGAGCACATCTGTGTGGGATTTTTAGTGGGAAATCTTAAATTGTCCCCTTCAAAGCCAACAGGAAAGCAGTTTTGGAGCCAAAAACACAAAGGCATAAAGTGATTAAATTATAATTTTTGACACAATAATAGCGTTATAGAGCGATATAAACTTCCATAAACATTAACATATCTACTCAGTGTGTCTAACAGCTGGTTTCAGTGACAGTAGAGACGTGGAGGTGGCAGGAACCGTGTTGCCGGAGGGGGATGATGGGAAGCATTTTAGGGCCATTTCCAGATTGGTGCAAAAAAGTGGCACCATCTGTGCCTAGATCTCTAACGAGCTTGGAACCATGTGGCTTTCTCTGTACGTTCCCAAGTGTGTTTGTGTTTGTGTCAAGCAGATATTCACTAGATCTTACATGGTCTAAAGAGGCTACTGCATGAATATAATGCCTACCTACATTTAAAATAAAAAAAAATGTTGGGAAGATACCTCCAATTTGGGAATGGCACAATTATCAATTATCACCAAACTTTCAGGATACTCACACCAGACTCTGCCAGTATTTGCCTTACTGGCGTTAAAGCTGGATAAAAATTTTTTTACAGGACCTGTGGTGGATCATTTATGTGGTCACTAATGTTCTACAATACACAGCAAATTGAAACCAGATCCATCTTTCCAATGTTAATGGCTACACTGATCCCAGCTTATTGTACAGCGCATGTTTATTGGTGTAATATTAAATTATATAGTGGGCTCGTATTGGCCCATAAAGGCCTATAAACGTCCCTCCATGCTGACTCTGCTGCACAAACTGCTGCTGTGTTGTAGATTTTTATTGAAATGTAAATATTGCATCGTGCTGCCGGGTTGAAATGAAGATAGAATGCACAGTAAACATGTTACTGCACATGTTCTCATAACTGTATACATGCTACTACATACTGAGACTCAAAGCTTCAAAGCATTGCCTCCAAGGCAAATACGAAGATATTAGCTGTAAGGTTCATGTTGAATTTGGTATTAATTGACAATTTCAAGTTTTTATCAGATGAAATCAGAACTCACTGTACAGTCATGGGACTAAAATATGAATAAAAGGAGGGAGAAATAATGTAGATAAATTGAAATTGTTGAAAAATACAAAGTGATTTCAGTAAAGATTAAAATGTATTACTTGTTAAAGATGTAAATAGGATTAAAGAACAGAAGAATATTTAATTTATGTACATAAAAAAAAGCTGTTAAGAAAGATTTGAGAGCAAAACACAAAAGGGATTTGCATGATTATTCCTAATTTATCAAAACAGACCTATCAGAGTAACCCTTAACGTGTTTAGAGGGTTAAACTTTGACAAAAAATATATATCTTTCACAATTTCTGGACTTTATTAGTTAAGTATGACTACCTACCATCAGCCTGTCTCAGTTGTAAACCACCTTAAAACTGTATTGTCCCTGTAATGAATAATTTTCCATTTTTTCTACAAAAAAAACTTTTTTTTCCTTAGCTTTAGTTTTGGTACACACATGCAATGAAACTGACAAAACCAAAAATATAAAGTATTTATGTTTTTTACTAGCATATAAATATGTAAAATAGGCCAAATAGGACATACTGTAGAAATCTTCAGTCCTCTTGTTGACATTTCTAGCTCAGCCCAGCTGTTCAGAATTAATTAGTTAAAAATTAAATCCGATGAATCTGGCTAATTACTTCTTTCTGATTGTTCCTGTAATAAATTATGTGTGTTAGAGWCTACAAAGAGGCTGTGTACTGTCACAAGGCTGTGTGTAAAAAAGCGTTTAACAAACTGGTTGTAACAATTAGTACAAGGCTGGTAATAATCCTCACTAGAGGCTAACATCAAACCGGTGTAATTAATTGTAAGAGTTGTTCACCCTCTTTTTAAATTTGTGTCCTGACTGCAACAGAACGGAAGAAAATGGGTCATTAGATTGATTCACATGTCATAAATCTCTTTAGGGAGGAGCTAGTTTTCAGTTTTTGTGAGGATTCTGCCTTTGMTTTGATTTTAACCTTTTGGTTTTTGTTTTGGTTTTCATGCTGGAGCAGGTGTAGCAGCTGAACTAGTTTTCTAGTGGGTGATTTTCTTACACTACCTGTGTTTGTCTCCAGATCACCTGGCGTCCTTCCTGGTTCCTGGGTGTTGTCCTCCAATTCTGTCTGCTCGATGCTGGAAACAGACAAATGCATCTTCTTTGGAATTAGCCCACTTGCCAAACCCACAAAACCCCCAATCACAAAGGAACAAGCATCTCTTTCAGAATTAAGATGCGACAAATTGTTAAAAGTTCATGTTAAGTTGTTTCTGTGCTCTTTTGTACACTCTTTGCTCTGCCGCAACATTTTATTCGCTTATGCTCTAATGAGTAGCAGGGATTTATCATGGTTGTCATTCCACACACAATACCAGGAACAATAGGAACCACAACACTGAAAGAATTAAGTTTTGACGCTTCAGAGGGGTGGATGGGTGTGGGAACGACGGTGTGTGTCTGGGGAGCATCACACGAGCACAACCCTGCAGGTTGCATCAGGGTTGCTTCTTACATTCACGGCACAAGTTTCCATTGCTTGAGCTAAAGGGAGATCTGTTTGCATCAGCATTTACCCGTCTTGCCTCAACACGCTAAGCAGACGGGGCGATGCAAACGCAGCGCAACCAACAACCCAACGCTAAGCGAAGAGAAGACTAACGTGTCAATACGTTGTAATCAGACGGAAAGAGAACATAAGATGATGAAATCACCTAAGCTGAACACTTTACCAGTTTAATGCAAATGTAATCAAACGGATGTGGAGAAATGCCTCATTTTTGTAGGCATCTGTACACAAGCTCATTAAAAATTGGCACAAGGAGAATGCAAAATTTAAAGAGGTTTGGCAACACTGTGTATTTTTTCTTCTCTAGAAAAACATAAGGTTGTAAACAAACATTAACAATTAAGTCATTATAAAGCTTAATGTAACTTTAAACAAATGTTCAAAAATATTTATTAAACTTAAATTCAAAGAACTGACAAAACGCAACGAGACTTCACTGGTAAAAAACCTTAAACATTCATTTTTATTAGACATGTTCAAAAGTAAAAACTGACATTTATTTAAACATTTAAACAAATTCTCTGAATATTTTAATTCTGCATTTTATTACAGAGATTTTAAAGTTTACTTCTTTTAAGCACCTAATCTCATATTAATGGAAAATTCTTTAAAAAGAATAGCAGCAGATGAGGAGTCGTTCAAATAGCTCGAACATCCATCCATCCATCCATCCATCCATCCATCCATCCATTTTCTTCCACCTATCCGGGGTCGGGTCGCGGGGGCAGCAGCTTCAGAAGGGAGGCCCAGACCTCCCTCTCCCCAGCCACTTCTTCCAGCTCCTCCGGGGGAACTCCAAGGCGTTCCCAGGCCAGCYGAGAGACATAGTCCCTCCAGCGTGTCCTGGGTCTTCCTCGGGGCCTCCTCCCGGTGGGACGTGCCCAAAATACCTCACCAGGGAGGCKTCCAGGAGGCATCCTTACCAGATGCCCAAGCCACCTCAACTGGCTCCTCTCGACGTGGAGGAGCAGCGGCTCTACTCTGAGTCCCTCCCGGATGACCGAGCTTCTCACCCTATCTCTAAGGGAGAGTCCAGCCACCCTGCGGAGGAAACTCGTTTCGGCCGCTTGTATCCGGGACCTCGTTCTTTCGGTCATGACCCAAAGCTCATGACCATAGATGAGGGTAGGAACGTAGATCGACCGGTAAATCGAGAGCTTCGCTTTCTGATTCAGCTTTCTCTTCACCACGACGGACCGGTACAGYGCCCGCTTTACAGCAGACGCTGCGCCAATCCGCCTGTCGATCTCCCGCTCCGTTCTTCCCCCATTCGTGAACAAGATCCCCAGATACTTAAACTCCTCCACTTGAGACAGGGCGACCCCCCTGACCCGGAGAAGGCACTCTGCCCTTTTCCGGCTCAAGACCATGGCCTCGGATTTGGAGGCACTGAGCCTCATCCCGGCCGCTTCGCACTCGGCTGCGAACCGCTCCAGCGAGAGCTGCAGATCTCGTTCCGATGAAGCCAACAGGACCACATCATCCGCAAAAAGCAGAGATGCGATCCTAAGGTCACCAAAACGGATCCCCTCAACACCTCGGCTGCGCCTAGAAATTCTGTCCATGAAAGTAATGAACAGAATCGGTGACAAAGGGCAGCATTGGTGGAGTCCAACTCTCACCGGAAACGAGCCCGACTTACTGCCGGCAATGCGGACCAGACTCTGACACCGGTCGTACAAGGACCTGACAGCCCGTATCAAGTGGCCCGGTACCCCATACTCCCGGAGAACCCCCCACAAGGCCCCCCTTGGGACACGGTCGAACGCCTTCTCCAAGTCCACAAAACACATGTAGACAGGTTGGGCGAACTCCCATGCACCCTCCAGGACCCTGCTGAGGGTATAGAGCTGGTCCAGTGTTCCACGACCAGGACGAAAACCACACTGCTCTTCCTGAATCCGAGGTTCGACTATCCGACGGACCCTCCTCTCCAGGACCCCTGAAGCTCGAACAAATAAAGCTTTAACAAAGATGGACATCATATTTTAATTGTGTTGAAGATCACTCTTCAGAAAGCACACAAATTATTATTTTTTAAGTAATTTTGACATGACCAAATGCTTTTCATGTCTGTTATGTGTGGAGTGGAAACTATAAGGTAAAATATAATTGCAGGCATTTTTTATGAGACTGTCATATATAACTATAAAAAGATCTATTTAATTCGCAGAGATTTGATTAAATGTGAAGGCTAGATCGTCCTTATTAGGAAAACAATTAAACAGATTCAAATATGGATTAAAACAAGGACAAATGTAATGATTTATAACAAAACATAAAAGAATAAGCTTTAAATTAACTTTGACTTGAAATTTAATTTGACACCAGAAAAAATATTTTAATTTAAGTCTTACATGTTACAATTAGACAATTAAATGTATTTTGAAAAGAGGAAAAGTAAAAAAAAAAAATGGATAGATGGATGTTTGCTGTTTTTTTTTCAACCATTTTATAACTTATCTTTTCTAAAAATTATTAACATTCTATTGATTAAAAAGAAATAAAAACCAATCATCTGTTATTGATGTGAGAAGTAAAACCAATGGTTCAAATTGGAAAATTTAATTTGTACACATTGTTATTTTACAAGCTTACCAATTATTATAAGCCTTCATTTTGTTAGCAACAATATAGACAACTGATTTGCAAAAATCTTGTATAGTTAAAAAAATCCTCTTAGAAATGTTTCTCTGTCTTTAAAGCCGTTACTCACAGGACTGAATATTATGTGTATTTAGCTCTGGTTTCTAATTGTATCTGTTGTGTAAAAAGTCTATTAAGACATTATTTAGATAAAAGATTTTAGGAAATTTAACAAAACAAAAACTATGAAAATTTTTGCTCCTGCAGTCTGATCTGGATCCCAGAAAAGATGGAATGCCCTGACTATAGTAAATCAACTTTGGCAAATGCAAGATTGGCTGTAACTCGGTCAATTTTACGGAAACTTAGATAAAAATTGGTGTGGTAGTAGCTGAGAGTCATCCCCAACAGATACTCTGAGCAATAACAGATCGTGCAAGAGTTTTGTTTAAAACTTGAGCATGCAGCTGGTGATCTCCAATCATTCAAGAAACGCTCGTTTTAGTTTAGCTAACTCTTCACCTGCTTCATCTTTTTTAACTTGTCTGAAATTTAATGTTGAGTTAAAATAAGAAGTTATTGTTTACTTTAAACAGCCACAGCTATTTCTAACTTTTGCATTCCTGTTAGTTTTATTTTTTGGACCTAAATTCACAAACTGCATTCTGCTTTGTTCCTACACTTACACAGTACACCAGTCTTTTTTGGACACAAAGCTGCCATTTTCCATCACAGATGTGATTTCTCAAAAAAAAAAAAAAAGGTATAAAACAACAAGTCCTGCATTAAATTGTTAATGTTGTATTTAAGAGCAGAGTTTCTCCCACTCCCCCTTCTCTTGAATAGGTGAGCTGTTCATGTTTTCATTAAGGACCTTAAGAAAATATTTTTATAAAGGCTGTTAGCGGAGAGTTTGACTTCTAGGATTACAAGCGTTGGGCTTAAAATGCGGGATTAGGTTATCGCCAAATAACAGGGGACACTTTGTCGAACACGTCCCTTTTGTAATGTGTAACAACATGTGCTTGTACAAGAACCTGTTTGCAATTAGGCACTTGGGTCAGTTCAAACACGGGTGGGAAAGAGCCAAAGTTCCTCAATCATGTTAAACATACGCAGGTAATTTCCCACTAAAATATTTATGTACTGCATTAGATACGTTTTAAACTGTAGAAAAGAAGAAAAAACAACCAGAGTAACAACCAGAGGTACTAAATATTTCCTAAAGAAATTAAATCCTTTAAAACACATAATGAGTCCCTGTGTGTGCTCACGGCTCTCCTGAGACCAACATTGTTTAGTTTTAATCACAAATTAGATCCACTTTAATGCACTGCTTCTCCTCAACCTCAATGACTACACAAGTTTCTTCTTCACTTACAGACAACATACATGGAAACCGCTCATGATATGTCCCTAAAAATACACAGAAAGTTTGAGCAATATACAATAAATCAGATACACTAATTATACAGTAAAAGCGGAAAACGACTTCAGAAATTCTGATTTTTAAGACCTTGTGGCCCAAGACTAACATGCACCAGATACCCATTTGTTTGTTAAAATGGCAAGCTATTAAAAAAGCATCTGACAAAGAAAATTTTGAGTGGAAGAGCTATAAAGTCAGATACAGATGCAGTCCCTCCAGGACGTTGTCCTCAACAACTATATACAAAAACTATATACCGTATTTATTTATGTATAATACGATCTCATGTATACTACGACCACCCCCCCCCCCATTTGAGCTTAAAAAGCATTAAAAAATTAATCCTCAAACTACCTCCAATTTCATACAGACTTCAAGATTTTTCAGCCTTTGCAGTCTTTATACATATCAGTAAAATGATCATTGGACTGTTCATTTTATTTTAACAACATATGTACTAAAAGGTATTTTGACAACAAATACTGTATATATCAGCTGTAGCAGCATCATATGAATTCTGGCATTTTACACATAGTCCACCAGGATGCGCTAAC